TCAGTGGGCTGGAAACAGGGGACAGTGGGAGCCGGCTGTGTCTGTCCCCTCCCTCCTCACAGGGACACTGACCGGGGGCCGGATCCACGCTCCCCCTGCTTGTTCCAGCACCACCACCCTGGAGGACTCTGGATAACTCAGATGCGGCAGTGGAGTCACGTTACCCCATCCTGATCCAGCCTTCACCCCCAAACCCCACTGCCATGAAGAAGAAGCCGGCCAATGGGCGGGGGCTGGACCCTGCAGGACCCCAGCAGCGAGCCCGGGGTGTCACCAAGACAGCAGAGGTGACTGACCCATAGTGGGAGGTGACACCCCGAGATGAGATTTGGGAGTTGTTGCACTCTCCTGACTCCCCAAACCACCATCTCAGGGTAGGCTGTTGCCCTGGGTGGCACTGTGGGGGARCTGCTGCTGACACGGGTGGGGTTTTTGCTCCCTTAGTACGTGGGATCCTTCGCTGTGGAGGAGCTGGAGCTGCAGCTGCGAGTGGGGCAGTTGGAGGAGCAGCTGTGGGCGCTGAAGGTCGGGATTTACCACTGCTCCCCTTGCTGGGAAACACAGGGAACCCCRAACAATTGGGACACCCGCAGGGGGCACAGCCCAGACCCCCTAGTGCCACATCTCCCCCGGACAGGACTGTCCCAGGAGGAGGCCGGTGGTGCTGAGGTTCAGCTTGCAGGGGCTGAAGGTCTACGGTGCTGATGGGGAGGTAGGGGGCTGGGGGGGTCAAGGGTGCTGGGGAATGGGTCGGGGGTGCTGGGGAGGGAAGTCAGGGATGCTGGGAGGGGTCAGAAGTGTAGGGGGGCTGATGGGGGGTCAGTGGTGCTGGGGAGGGGATCAGGGTCTGGGGAGAAGGGTCAGTGTTGCCAGGGTTGGCAAGTCACAGGTGCTGGGGAGGGGGGTCAGGGGTGCTGGGGAGGTGTCAGTGTTCTGCTGGAAAGGTGCTTGGGGGGAGCTGTACCTCTCTGAGCATCTTCTCTTGAGAAGCTGCTTTGTGTGAACAAATAGGGGTGACCCTGGGGGGCCCGGGGGTGCTGCGTGCCCCTGACACCCGTCTCCATCCCGCAGACGCTGCTGATGGCACACGCACTGCGCCGCATCCTGTACAGCACCTGCAGGCTCCCCGACCGCCAGTTCGCCTTCGTGGCCCGCAATCCACACAGCCCCCCCAGCACCCTCTTCTGCCACCTCTTCGTGGGGCTCCCGGGAGAGGTGGTGGCCCAAGCACCCCCCATCCCCAGAACATCAGAATTATTATTATTTTTAATATTTGCACGCAGCAACTTTCGCTTCYCCCAGGTCCAGAGCCTGCACCTCCTGCTCTGCCGCTCCTTCCAGCTCTGCCACCTCCTGGCGCACCCCGAGGAGCAGGCGGGCGAGGGGGAGCTCCCGGGGCCGGGGGTGCTGCAGGAGCCCCTCAACCCCGAGGAGGTGTCACGAAATGTCAATGCCCTGGTGTCCTTCCGGCGCCTGCCCGCCCCCGCCGGCCTGGGCCCGCTGGGCACTGCGGTAGGTGCCCCTGCCCTSCCCGGACGCTGCTCCTTCGCACGCCGGCGTGCAATGCACGGTGTTCTCACACCCGGGATTGTCCCACGGTGCTTCCCTGCGTGTGCTTTGGAACAGCCAGTTTGTGCATGGGGTCTCGCGGGGCTTTTCTTGCACCGCCTTTTCTTCACACGGCGTTTCACAGAATATTCTGAGCTTCCTGGCCCTGCACAGGACAGCCCCGTTTCTTTCACAATAGACTGTGTACGGTGTTTTTAGCAGCCAGGTTTTTTTGCGCAGCGTTTTCCCAGGCAGCTCCTTGCATTTTGCACAGCGTGTTGTCACTCCACACAGGTACCTGGTATCTTGTGTGCTGTTTCCTTGCGTGTCTTCTTGGTGCAGCCTTTCTCCACACGGTGCTGTGTGCACAGTCTTTTGCACAGCCTTTTCTCACACGGTGTTTTGAGTGCTGCATCTTGCACAGCCCAGTCCCCACCCAGCCTGTTTTACACTTTGAACAGCCTGTTTTACACGGCCCTTATTTGAGGGCCTTTTACTGCCTGGCATTGGGCATCAGGCAATTTGCACAGAATTTTTTTTTTGCACAGGAATTTCGCAGGAGGTTTTACAGCACATTTTTTACCTTGGTGTTTTTGCAGGGCACTTTCTTCTCCATGGCATGTTTTTGTATAACTTTTTTTGCACTGCCTTATTTCTTATAACTTTTTTACTCGGCACTTTTTGCACAGTGGTTTGCATGGCTGTTTTGGCGTGGTTTTTYTTGCAGAGCATTTTTGCACAGTGGGTTTTCTTCACAGCTCTTTTTGCACTATGTTTTTGCACGGGGGTTTGTGTGGCATTTTTTGCTCCGTGTTTTTGCACAGCATGGTGATTTCTTGCATGGCATTTTCTGCGCAGCATTTTTGCTGGACAATTTTTTTTKTGTGTGTGYGTTTTGCWCAGYTTTTTTTGTGTTGCATCCTTTGCACAGCATTTTTCYACATTGTGTTTTGCGTGACGTTCCCCACAGCCAGTGCCCCCAGACCCCTCTGACAGCCTGTCCATCCCCCAGGACCGGCGGCCGGAGGCGGAGGGCAGAGCCTGGCGCCCAGGGAATCCCTACTGCTCGCCGGTGCTGGTGCGAAAGAAAGCCATTCGGAGCAAAGTACTGCGCTCGGGAGCSTACAGGGACTGCGGGGCTGAGGGACAGCTCCACCAGCAGCCCCGCGACACTGGTGAGTGCCGGGGGGGAAACTGAGGCACGGGGACACACGCAGCCCCAATACCGCGGGGTTGCGGGGGAGAAGAGGGGATTAACGGGCTCCCGCAGCGGCGGCGGGATGGGAGAGCAAAGGGGCGAGGAGCTTGGCGTTCCTGCCCGAAAATGAGAGCGTCCTCGCCGAGAGCGTGTGGGCATTCGCCGGCATCACCAGGTGAGCGCGGATGTGGGAGCAGCTGATCCTCGGCACCCCTGGTCCCTGCCCCACCTCTACGCCCTGCCCCACCGCCGCTTCATCCCCAGGGACGCCGGGGTCGCGCTGCTGCGGCAGGACGTGCCCGGAGCCTTCCTGCTCCGCCCCGAGCCCGGGCTGCCCAAGCGCTGGTGCCTGTGGGTGCGGGCACCCTGCGGTGTCGTGTCCTACGGGCTCGTCCGGACGCACCAGGGCCGGTTCTGCGTGGAGGTGAGCCCGGCTGAGGGAGTGTTCGGGCATGAGGGCACGGGTGTGCTGGGGGCCTGCACCCGGGTAAGTGCGTTGGGTGTGTGTGTGCACTTACCCGGCCGCATGCATTTGGTCCGTCCGTGCATGCCTGCACTGGCGTGTTGTGCCTCGGTGCATGGCCGTGCTGCACAAGTGCATTTGGTGTGTCTGTGCATGGATGTGCTGGTGTGTACGTGCATTCACCTGGTACCCTGTCGGGTTTTGGGCCACCCATGCATAGGTGCACTGGGGCTGTAGTTGCATTTGTGTATTGATGCACTAGTGTGTGGATGTACCAGGACACGGGTGCACTGGTGTGTGTGTGCATTTCATGCACAGTGCAGGTGCATTTTGCCTGTTTGTGCATGGGTGTGTTGCTGCCTTGGTGCAGGAAYGCATATGGATATAAGGTGTGCTCATGTGTGTTCAGGTGTGGGTGCACAGGAGTGTCAGTGCATGGGCACATTGATTCGTGGGTGCCTTGGGGCACAGGTGCATCCCGTGTGGCACGCAGGAACCCCCGGGCGTGGGTGCATCGCTGCATCCACACTTCAGCGTGCAAATACATTTGAATTCTGGTTGCACTAATGCACAGACACGTGATGCACAAGCRCACTGGTCTGTGTTTGATTCACCATCCCACTGGTCACAGCTCCCTTTGGTCTGTGCGTGTATCAGCTGYGTGTGCTCACAGTGCCCCGGTACCCGCACACGGGGGTGTGCAGTGGGTGCACAGGTGTGTTCWCCTGTGTCCTGGTGCGTGGTGCCGCGGCTCCATGGGCACCCGGTGCAGAGCTGAGGGGTGTGTGTGCTGTGTGGGTGTGCTGCGTGTGATGTGTGTGCTGGCAAACGGGGCACAGGGGTTTGCTGTGTGACACAGCCTGCACGGGGGGCTCACCTCTCCGCTCTCCCCTCTCTCTCTCGACGGCAGCACTCCAACGCCGAGTTCGCCAGCATGGCCGCCCTCCTAGCCCACTACTCCGCGACACCRGGGGGCTGCTTCTGCCGCCTGGCCCCCGGCCGACGCAACCCGGCCTACGAGAAGCGGGATCCCAGCGGCGGGGCCAGCGCCGGGGAGAGCGAGGCCGCCTGGGCCCCCGCCGCCCCCATCGGGGTGCAGCAAGAGCGGGGGTAGCGCCGGCCCCCCTCCCGTGCACGGCTGTCCCCCAGCGCCCCCCGAGCTTTAACTGCTGCCGCCTGCCTTATTCCCCCGCCCCGCCGCCTTTGTCCGGCGCCTCCCGCAATAAATGGCTCTCGTGCATCCGAGCAGGGCTCCGCTGGCCGTCACACTCACACCCACCCCGCGGCGTGCGGCGTCCATACCTGTGTGCTCACACGCGTGTGCACACGCTCTCCGGCCCCCGCAGCTCATCAACTCACACTCCCACCCTCGCAGCCTCGTGCACTCTTGCACGATGCACCAACAGCACTCAAGCACTTACACGACTGCGCCACGCTTTTGTGCTCGCAATCCCTYCTGCTCTTGCACCCTCAGGCACTGCTGCAGTGGTGCATTCACGCTCACAAGAGGTTGCACACCGCCGTGCTCGCCCTCTCTGGCACACGCAGAGCTCACCCCCGTGCACTGGCACAGCTGCGTACCGGTGCCATCACGCCCCGTGCCCTCACACGAGCACCGCACCTCGGGCACGCGCGGCCTCGTGTCCCCCCCCGCCCACGTGCGCGCCCCCGCCCGCCGGGGGCAGTCACGTGACACGATGGGCGGGGCCGCTCTCCGCGCGGCGCCGGTCGCTGTGGCGACCGCGTGCTGTCTTTCGCGCATGCGCGGGGCCGGCGTCACCGCCGCCCTCAGACCCCCGGGCCCCTCGAGGCTCCCTGCGCGCCCTCTGGCCAGCGCGGCACCGCCAGGGTTATCTCAGGTTTTCCCTTGCTCAGTCCCCCTTGGGCGTGTCTCGGTTCCCAGAAGTTACCTCAGGGTTTCCTGTCCTCAGCTTCCCCTCAGGGGTTCCCCCAACAGACTCCCCCTCCGGTTTCCTCCCCACGATCTGCCCTAATTCCCTGTCAGACTTGTTCCTAGCTTCCCCCTCACACACCCTTTCCCTCCATCCCTCCCCAGCTCTTTTCCTCCACAGTTTCCCCTTCTCTTCCAGTCTCCCTGGCTCGGTGGTCCTTCCCCTGCGTTGCCCCCAGAGAGGGGTGAGTGTTTCCCCTCCCCCCGATGGGTGCAGGCCCCACGGTTAAGCTTGCCCCAGCTGCCAGTCCCGCCGAGTGAGGGCGTGTGGAGCTGATCCAGGCGTGTGGGGTGACCCCGGTGTGTGACACTCCGAGTGTGAGGGTGACCCTGGTGTGTGGGTGACCGGGCCGATGGCCGCGGAGGCGGTGAAGGTGGCCGTGCGCTGCCGGCCCCTGAGCGGGCGCGAGGAGGCCCGGGGGTGCCGAGCCATCGTCGGCGTAGACAGCGCGCGGGCCCGGTGCCTCCTGCGGAACCCCGCGTCCCCCACAGAGCCCCCCAGGCAATTCTTCTTCGATGGGGCATTCAGTGGGGAGCATAGCACCGAGCACATCTACAACGAGATCGCCTACCCACTCGTGGAGGTCAGTGGGGACCCTGGGGACCCCCGTGCAGCCAGGGATGGGGGCAGGTTTGGGCACCACAATGAAAAAAATAGCTAACGCTCTTAGTCCATCGAAAGGAGACACACGAATTAGTGAAGGGCTTTGAGGGGAAACTACACAAGGAGTTGCTGAAGGCACTTGGTTATGTTCAGCCTGGAGAAGAGGGGGCTTTTAGAGATGATTTTAGGGACATTTTTACTGTCAAGTGAGAAACCGTGGAGAAGATGGGGAGCCTCAGTCTGGCTTAGATTGGCAAAATGAGAATGGATGCATTCGTTTCCTTAAGAGGTTAGCACAGAAAACAGCTGAGGAACCCATTAAGCAAAAAAAAAAAAAAAGCACAGAAAACAGCTGAGGAACCCATTAAGCAAAAAAAAAAAAAAAAAAAAAAAAAAAAAAAAAAAAAAAAAAAAAAAAAAAAAAAGCCCATCATTCCCCAAAACCCCAATTTTGTTAGAAGAAGGAATATGGATTAAATGGCTGGTGATGGTTTTAAGATGGAAGTTCCTGAACATGAGAACAAGCAGGGCTAGAAACAATAGATATTAGATTAAAAGGTTCTTTTCTTTTTTTTTTATTCAGACCTTAAGAAATCTTAAGAGTTATTTTCAGTTCCTTCAGTTCTCTGAAATAGGAACAAGTGACAATGAGCAGCTTGCCAAATAAAAGCTAGACACCATCCCTTTGGCCACTGCACAAACAACAGTTATTCTAGTTGTCTCTTTGAATCKCCTAAGATTTTTGTGCCCTATGGCAAAAATACTCTGGTTTCCTAAGTGTTGGTCTTTTCAACTGCTTTTCAACACCTGCATTGCTTCAAGATTTTCAGTTTTCAGAGAAAAACATTGATTTATATGCTAATTTTGTAATTACTACGATGGCATATGAAGATTAAGCAGCTGTTTGATGTTTACTTCCAGCTCTTCCTTTAAAATACCTTTTAGGGAGTGGGAATGAATCTGGACAGTGTATTTCCAGTTAGGCAAAGATRATGGCTATTTTCTTTGGTTTTCTCCCATTTCCAGGGTATCACYGAAGGCTACAATGGCACCATCTTTGCCTACGGCCAGACTGGCAGTGGGAAGTCATTCACCATGCAGGGAGTTGTAGATCCTTCCTCACAGAAAGGGATCATTTCCAGAGCATTTGAACACATCTTTGAGAGCATACAGGTGGGTGTGAAAGAGATCCTSTTGACAAATTTTTACTAGAATACCTTCTTAGGTGTCCTATCCCAAGAAATGAGTGCTGATGGTACTTGATGTGTGAATGGGGACAGGTTTGTGATGCCCTCTTCTCATCCATAAGCTGAAGCCTGTCCATAGTCCAACAAACTGCATCCTAAACCTGGATGACTTTATGGACTTCAGGTTTGGAAGTCCCTTACAGTGAGTTCCCCCACCTGGGAACGAACTGCCAGCAGAGATTGGATGAGGTGCTGAAGGGTGCTGGGCACCCAGCTGCAGGAGGAGCTCTGTGGGCTGCCCTTGCTGTGAGAGCCTCACCCCTAATCCTCCCTGCATTGTGCAGTGTGCTGAAAATGCCAAGTTCCTGCTGAGAGCCTCCTGCCTGGAGATCTACAATGAGGACATACGAGATCTTCTGGGAGCTGACACCAAGCAGAAGCTGGAGGTGAGGCAGACTTGATGTGTCTTAATTAAGTGCTTTAATTACCTCGAATAGGTGTTACCATGRCTTACAGAAGTGCATCAATGGGCTCTGTCAGAAGCTTGAGTGCTAGAATATGAAGTTATGTGAGGAATATTGAAGCCAAAAGGGGCTTTTGAGGGGCTTTAGCGAAAGTTTAGGAACGGGATGCCATCAAAGACATGTCCAGTGCATCCCACATGATAATGGCTGCTAGCCCAGCAGCAGCTCTGTGAAAACCTTWTACTTGACAAGGGTGGAAGGAAGTGCTCATGGGGCAGTTTGTTCCTCATCCTCTTCATCTCATGCTTGTCTCTAAAGCAAGAGGATTCTGGGCCTTATAAATGTTTAATCTGATTCAGTGCAGCCATGGATGATCTCTTTATCTACCTAAACCAAAAAGGCTAATCTGTTTTGAGGGGACACAGCAGATATTACTCCCCATGGGAACACATGGGAAGTTTACAGGACTACAGGATGGTAAACTCTTCTGGAATCCTAATCAGGGGGCTGATCTTTATAAAATTTACCTCTTGGTGTCTTTGCAGATCCTTTTGTATGTATTTCTGGGGGAAGCTAGAAATCTCTTGTCCCAGTTTACTTCGTTGCAGGACTGCCCTGGTGAATAAACCCAACGCAGTAGCACCTTGAGATGCCCTGGGATGGCAACAGACCCCAACTGCCTTAGAGGGCAGATATTTTTAACAGGTTTCTGACTTTAAGGCAGGCACACCCCTCTCTGCTCCATGTTCCAAGCGTGCTTTGCCTGTCTTGTGTGGAGGGAGAGTGGGAGAAGGGGACTTCTTGCTGCAGTTTSCCATCCTTTGTTCCACATCCGTGGTGACATGGGTTTCCATGGTGATGCAGTTGGCACTGGGAGGGCAGGAGCTGGGCAGAGCAGTTTCCAGGGTAACTCTGTCACACTGCCTATTGCTGCCTCCACTGAGTACTTGAGGGAGTCGTGTCCTGTGGAAACAAATCCCATGCTGATCTCCTGCATTCCTCTGTGTCCCCCAATTCACTCCCAGAATTCCATTTTTGTTCGTTCCTTTGCCTTTCACCTTAGTGACTGCAGCCTCAGTCAGGTGTTCCTCAGGGACTCTGCAACACCCCCAAAGAGACTCAGGCCAATACTGGTGTTCTCAGTAGCACACACAAGCCACAAATCACGGTGTATGAAGAGTCTGGCAGTGACTGTACCTGGATTCATCCTGGGCAGTCGTGGCTTTGGGACAAGGACAAATCCCACCCAGTTAAGTTTTCAGCCACTTCTGCTCTGTTCTGTGGATTTTTTTAACAGCAAACACCGTTTTACATCGTTTCTTGTGGTGTGACCATCGCTGAAGTATCTGAGTCTCCTCTTTGGAAGTCACAGTGGTCTCTGTTGCTCTATCATGACAACCACATCTCGATATCCCAGCTAACATGATAAAGATAGTTTTGGTGATGAACTTAGCAGATGTGGGGTGTAACAGAGCTGTGGAAAATTAATTCTGCTCATTTAAAATTCCCAGTGTGGAGGGGGCTGGTGTAGGAGTGCAGGAATCTCTGGATTATTTCGTATTTTTTATGTAGGCTTGATGGGTTACTCAAAACTTTGGATATTTCCATCATTTATTAACATTCYGTGTGAAACTTTACATCTGTGTGGTTGATAATTACTGAGAAGATGCTGTTGAGTATTTAATGCTCTGTCTCAACTCAGGGGCCCGAATAGGATTTTGGCTCATTTAAAAATTATTAATCTGGAGAAAAATGATGACAGTTCTCTTGTGTGTGATGGGTGTGACTTTGGGAATGTTGTCAGTGAGCTCAAGCCACCCACTCAGAGCAAAGAGTTCAGCAAAGCATTGGGAACAGTATCTGGGAATATTGTATCTGTGCTTCGATATTAAAAAAAGCTTCCTATGGCTGAGGAGATTGCAGAGCCTTTGCCATAATAGGTGAGATGTATTTTGATTCTGGTTTAAAATATGCAGCTTAATAATAGAGAAGGTGGAGGGTGGATAGGAGCCGTGTTCCTCATGGCTTGGGGGTTGTCTGAGTCAATCAGCAACTTTTAACTTGGATTCTTTCAAGCCATGAAGGTTGTTCCTTCTTTTTCTGTGGTTTTATTCCTCCTTCAGAAATAAGGCTTTTTGGTGGYAGTCAGATGTGGTTTTGTCATACTGCAGTTTAATTTCACATAGCCTTCAAGCTTCCGGGCCATTCCCAATGTGATTTTCCATGGTTTCGGTGCCTCTTGTCCTGACCTGACTTGCATTGTCCTGTTGGCAGCTGAAGGAGCACCCAGAGCAGGGGGTGTACGTGAAGGGGCTGTCCCTGCACGCTGTGCACAGTGTGGCACAGTGTGAGCAGCTGATGGACACRGGCTGCAGGAACAGAGCAGTGGGCTTCACCCTCATGAACAAGGACTCCTCCCGCTCCCACTCCATCTTTACTGTCAGGATGGAAATCTGCACTGTAGGTGAGTACCTGGATGTCCTGCCTTAGGCCTGTGCCCAGCAGGGCACAGGATCTGCATAGTCACTCATCATCCCACAGCTAACCTTAGTTCCCAAATGATTGTCCAAGAGAAAAATCCTCTTCCTGTGAGGGTGATAAGGCCCTGCCCCATCCCTGAAAGTGTCCAAGGCCAGGTTGGATAGGACTTGGAGCAGCCTGGGATAGTGGAAAGTGTTCCTGCCTGTGGCAAGGGTGGAATGAGATGAACTTTAGAGTCCCCCTAACCCAAACCACTCAGGTCATACCACCTGACAATTCCTTCACTGAGCTTAATCATAGGACATATTTTTTTGAAATGGAATTAAAGAATCCTTTAGTAAAGTTTTAGTGACTAATTTTCCTTTCACGAGTATCTTATTGGCGTTTCATTAGCTGGAAGAGCTGCCTCACTGGATCTGAACAGGGACCTTGAGAGCGTTTTTCAGGGAGCAGAAAGGAATTAATCTCTGCCTTGTCTTTGACCCTGGCTGGGAACAGCTTGGCTTCATTTTCTTCAGCTGTTTCAGTCATGGGGAAAGTTACACAATGTCTTCCAAAATTGTGTTCCAGATGTTGATGACAGTACCTCATTTTCCACTCAATGAGTGAGGGATTTGGGGATTTTCTCAATTAGCACAGATAGTGCGTGCATTGTATGGGTCTGTAAAATCCCAATTTTAATTCCAAAAGGGTAAGAGAAGTATTTGCACTCCTCTTCTGTGCTCCAGATTGGTGCAGGGCCCTCTAATCTAGAATGAATTTCTCTCATTTAAAGCTTTGAAAACATGACATGGAATGGGATGGCAGGTGGGGAACCTGCAGCTTTGGCAGTTAAAAACAGTTGGAATATTTGAGGAGAAAGTTGAGGGCTCTGACCCAATCCCCATAAACCAGATGGTTCTGCTGGGTTGAGCATTAGCTGAAATAGTTGATGAAGCTGGTATTTTTGTTGTCATGTTTGGGCTTCATAAAGAGTTCAAACTTCTTTTCTGGGTGAGCCTGTAGTAAATGATCATTTACAGGGGAYTGATATTTTAAAGGGACTAAAATTACTTTTTTTAAAGTAACACATTCAGGAATTATGGAAAATAATGGGCTCTTGGCTGCAGTAATTTCACTCAGATTTTTACACCTTTTTTAAATTTTATTTTTTATACTTATGTATTTTTAYAGTATTTTTACTTAGATTAGCAGATGTTTTATTCCTTCATGTYGTGTGCTTCTGCCGTCAATGGGCTGGCAGGGAATTAGACAGGGAAGATCTTTAGGCWGCTGCAGACATTTTAGCAAGAGTCTGGGGACCTTCTCACACCACAGGAACTAAACCATGAGCTCTGAGCTGGACACAAACAGCCTTGGTTGGTAAAAGGACTGGCAGGARCTGAAACAGCTTTTTGATTGCCTGGCAGTGTTTGCATGAACCAAAGAAAGGAGGGAAAGGGTTGGAAAACCTACTTTTTTTTTTTGCTGCCCACTTGCCCCAGCTCTCAGAAAGGATAAGGAGAGGGTGCTCTGTTTAAGCTGCATMTGTTTTTACCCTGTTCTCCCATGTCTTGACACATGAGAATGAGCTGGAGCGGAACAAGTTTGTTCAGCAGCAAACATTAAATTCCACACTTACCAAGCTGTTGTAACAAAAATATCCTGGGACAACAGATTTTAGAGTTTTTGATGTTTACCTGTGAACCTTCAGCTTTCCTTCATGCATCAGATTGGTAATTGCTCATGTTTAGGTATTTTCCAGAGTTGTAAAACAGAACACTGACTCCTTTAAAGGCCAGGTTTTGTAGAAGTCTGTCTGGAAGAGGGCTAAAATCTCACTGTTTTCCGTGCTTATAATGCTAAAGGAGCTCTTCCCTTGAATTTGGGTTGCAATCTTATGGAATATTTGGGATGTGGACATCCCAGAGTGTGGTCCAGGGCTTAGACACACATTCCTGGAACTGCTGTCCTAACTCTTTGCTCTGTTTGAGGCTGGGAAAGTTAAGGAGTCAGTAAAAATGCAGGGTTCGTAAAGGAAAACCAGATACGCTCTGCCTTCCTCACAGGGAATGTGTGCATCACATTCTTACAGCCTCAAATGCAGAGCAGAAAGTGGGAATTCCATGTGTAAGGTGTGTGCCMAGGCAGCTGGGCAGCCTCAGCTCACGTCTCTTCCTGCCTTAAAGTGATGGGAATGACACCAGCTCACCAGGTTTGACTCCTCACCTGGGKAGGATCCATCTACTCATCTGGGGGATTTGGGCTGTGGGCAGAGACACCTTCCWTTATCCTAAGTTGCTCCAAGCYCYRTCCAACCTGGCCTTGAACACTTCAAGGGATRGGACAGCCMCAGCTTCTCTGGGCTGGGGCYTCATCACCCTCACAGGGAAGAATTTCTGTATATCTAAYCTAAATTCCCCCTCATGAAGCAATCTGAGTAGGAAAAAAGTTGTATAAACTCATGGTCTGCTCATGTTACTTGTGGAGGACTTTGGCTGAAACAGTAAATACTGTGGAAATATGTGGAGGAGTGTCTGTGTGTGTGTTCAGAGCTCACCAGGRGAGAACAGGCATGAATTTTTATTGTAGATCCTGTTGAGGAAAACATTAAAATGTGCAGTGTTATGATTAAGTAGATATTTATTTACTTGAGGGAGTCAGGGCCCCAGTGCAAAGAACAGGGCTGGAACAGGWTGTGATGCTCAAAGTCCTGGTTCTTGACTGTTGAGATGCTTCCTTCTTAAGAGCTAACCCAGAATGGTTTCCATGCAGATGAGCGAGGACAGGAGCACCTTAGGGCTGCCAAACTCAACTTGGTGGATCTGGCAGGAAGTGAGAGACAGTCAAGAACTGGTGCCACAGGGGAGCGGCTCAAAGAGGCCACCAAAATCAACCTGTCCCTGTCTGCCCTGGGCAATGTCATCTCGGCCCTGGTCGATGGCAGGTGCCACATTCCCTACCGAGACTCCAAGCTGACCAGGCTGCTCCAGGACTCCCTRGGAGGGAACACCAGGACCCTGATGGTGGCGTGTGTGTCTCCAGCTGATGACAGCTATGAGGAAAGCCTCAGCACCTTGCGCTATGCAAATCGAGCCAAGAACATCAGGAACAAGCCCTGCATCAATGAGGACCCCAAGGATGCCCTGCTAAGGGAGTACCAGGAGGAGATTAAGAAGCTGAGGGCCATTCTGGCTGAACAGACAGGCACAAGTGACTTGGCAGGTATGAGAGCCCATACTGGCTGCAGAGATGTAAAAAACCGGTTTTTTAGGCCTAAAATGTGAACTAAATTTCCCTTACCTATTGGAGGAAGAGTTCTCCATTCTGGTTACAGACTATTCCTTCACTGTGTGCCAAATTGACCTTATTCCACTGGCAAAGACCATCTCAATTATCTAGCACTTTCAGTAGTGACAACTTCTGTTAGAAAATGCTGACRTGATTCAAATCCTTGGTTATTCTTGGTGATTGTGGCTAAAATTTGGTCAGTTGTAGAAGAGAAATTTCAGCTGGAAGAACAAAAATGAGCTGCAAAATAAATAATACTGTAAAGTTCTTTATTAAATATATATGTGTGTATGTTTTCAAAGTGAGCATTCAGCCCCTGTCCTCCTACAATGTGAATTTTGGACACAAGAAAAGGATTGAGGATTATTGAGGACTCAGCCCAGCCTCAGCACACTTGCTCTTTCCTCTGGAGGAGGAATAGCAAATGTAGGAACAAATGGGGAAGAGCAATCTTTAGGRAGCTGATCACCTTTGGAGAATTATCTCCTAAAAAGGGCAACTTTCAGCAGGGGAATAAGGCTTTAAAATGACTTTTCCCCCCTTTCTGCCACCTTTCACAAATAGCTGTGAACAAAGAAGGTAATTTCCTTGTGCTTTTCATCTTCCCAGTGGTTTTTATCTCCCAAATCTGTAGCATAGTCCTGGAAACAAGTCTCCTGTTACTCTYTGAAAGTGCTACTTGTATTTATAAATACCATATAATTATATTAATTTCCATATTTCCCCTGAAGCTTGAACCTCTCCCCCTATCCCCACACCTATGGAGCCCTGGGCCGGTGGGTGTTTTAGCAGCAAGTGCAGCTTGGAGGAGCACAGGGGTTGCCATGTTCTTTCCTGGCAGGCTGGAACATCTTTGTTCTCTTTCCAGGAATTCTGCATACAATCCCACTCAGTGACTGTGAAGGATTTTTATTTCTGCTTTGCTTTGTAGGGCTTCTACCCGCTGAGGCTGCTCATCTGGTAGCAAATCCAGCTCCCCCCGTCAAAATCCAGGTGGATCTGGAAGCAGAGAAGCAGCTGATCAGAGAAGTAAGTTGGGAAGGGACATCCCAGAGTGGCTTTGACTAAAACTTTGTATTTTCATAGTAATCATTAAAAATATGTTTCAGCCTTTCCAGAACTTCTCTTTTCTGTTTTCTAATCCTTGGGCTTCTCCTATGAACAGACCATGTGTCATGGAGGCCATGTGCCTTATTACAGCCCACCTCTTGTTCCCACTTCTCTGGAGATGGATTAGAATGGATTCCCAGGAAGAATTTTTGGAGGGACTACCTGTGAAACTGTCAGAGAAGGGAGGAATAGTTAAGGAAAGCAGTAATCAAAGATGTTAGGAACAGTGCAGGGATGACGAAAAAGAGGAATACAAAGTCAGGAGGAAGAATGGGGAGCCCGAGGGAAACAAAACTCTCTCCTTGCTCCTCAGAAAGTTCCTTCCAGGGCACCACAATTGTCCAAGGCAGCCATTTTTAGGGCTRAACAGTCATCATCCATCACTACGTGTAAACTTAAGTCACAGAAAAAGTCAGAGAATATGGAGTGGTGTAGTTGTATTGGGATGGTCATAAGGTGTGACCTGGAATGGAGCTGGATGTGACCTAGAGAACGGTGACAGGGCTGTTGCTGTGCCTTGCAGGAGTATGAGGAGAGGCTGACCCGGCTGCAGGCCAGCTACCAAGCGGAGCAGGCGTCCCGCGCCCGCCTGGAGAAGGACATCAGCAGCCTGAGGGATGTCTTTGATCTCAAGGTGTCTGCTATCGAGGATCTCCTCAGGAAGGGAGCAGGTGTGGAGCAGGCGGGTGGAGGCCGCACAGCCAAGCCCAGGTTCCCTCAGGAGCAGGGATGGTTTTTGCAGTCAGATCTGTGGCAGCCACTGCAGCCTTTAAGCGGCAGCAGCTGCTACTGCAGCAAGGGCTGCCTGACAGCAGTGGTCCCTGCTCTCAACCCACCCTTACCCACAGCAGGAGCAGGAATTCTGCCTCTCTGGGGCCAGATTTAAGACTGTCCCAGCTGTGTCCTCTTCCCTATTTCCCTGACTTCTTTCCCTGTCAGAACCAGCCYGACTCAAGCCTGTAAGCCTTGAGGCAATAAAAAGCTTCATTTTTGAATCAAACGCCTGCTTGTTGCCCATGCAGCAGTTTTCCTTGACTGAGGGCAGCRTGTCTCTGGAGCAGAGGTCCCTGCTCTGTCCCCATCCCACTGGGTTCTCATTCCCAAGGCCAGGGTGGCTGCCACAGTCTCTTCCTCTGTATGCAAATGTGCTGCAGCACTTGCTCTACCGGTGGATTATCCACACCATCACTTGCTGCAAGATGGATATTGCTCTCACATCCTAGAAATTGTTGCTAGCTCTCCTCTCTGTTACCACTTTTCATTGACACCCGCAGTGCATGGTTTGCAATGGGCTGTACAGCACTTTACTACCCAGTAGTAATTCTTGAACCTATAGTCTTCATTTTTGGTGCTATCACTTTCTGAGGTGAAGGCTGGGAGGTTCTTTATTATTTCCCCCTCTGAAATGTGCACYCCCAGCCTCTGAAATGGATTGTTTTTGGAGCCAGGCTCTCCCAGCCCTGTACAATCTGCATTCCTCGCCCAATACACCCTTTCAGTCTTTCATGGTTTCTACTGCCCAGCAGAAGTAGGTAAATGGCAGCCCTTTTCCTTTCAGACACATCATTCCTAGCTTTGAATGAAGGCTTTATGGGATGTTTTCACAGATCTATGTCTAGTTTTGYACAGCTCTTTACCAACATTGTGGGAATTTCCTCTTTTCAGCTGACATATGGACTAGAACGATTTCTGACCAGAAACCTTCACATGAAGATGCTGTTGTTGCAGTGCAYGAAGAGCCAACGTCAGCCCAGGTACCCTCCAGGCTCCTTCTCCCCTCACAATCAATAAACCCAAGTGGGTAACATGCTTCATCTCCCCCAGGACTCTCATGGCATCTTTCCATAGCTACAGCCTTTGTTTTCCTCTCGTTCCCAGGACCCAGCAGTGCCTCAGACTGTCACAGATGCTGGTGGAGTGAGCAGGGACAGTGCTGGAGCAGCAGGAGCTGTCACTGCCCTGGGGATTTCCCTGCCTTCAGACCAGCAGCTGGTGCTTGCCAGGTCAGTGACATCCATTCTCATGCCAATTGTGTCCTGGGCAGCACCCACAGGCAGCAGCAGGTCCCTTCTGCCATGACACCACGCTGCTGAGCTCCAGSTATTAATGCAGCCCCAAACCAGGCACACATGAGTTAAAATGATGGACTGGTTTGGATTGGAAGGGACCTTAAAGCTCATCCAGTGCCACCCCCTTCCACTGTCCCAGGGTGCTCCAAGTCCTGTCCAGCCTGGCCTTGGACACTTCCAGGGATGAAGCAGTCACAGYTSCTCTGGTCACCCTGTGCCAGGGCCTCACCACCCTCACAGGAAACAATTCCTTCCCAATGTCCCATCTARCCCTGCCCTCTGGCAGTGGGAAACTATTCCCTCTTGTTCTCCAGGCCCTTGTCCAGAGTCCCTCTCCAGCTTTCTTGGAGCCTCTTTAGGCACCAAAAAGAGGCTCTAAGGTCTGCCTGGAGTCTTCTCCAGGCTGTTTTTACCCCCAAACTAACTTTGCCCTATTTGGGTGGATGAAGAGTTGTTCCTTGCGGTGTTCCATGAGGCCAAGTGGTAGAATTATGAGAGAAAAATGGATATGTTCAAGTCAGCAGATGTGGGTGCCAGAGTGTGTGTTCCTGGTAACAAATCCTGCCTGGAGCTGCAGGCAGGGGAGCCTTAAGCGCCCACACAGGTTATGGAGATGCCTCCTTTTCCTTTTGAAAAAGTTCCTTGAAGGGCACTTGGAGCCCTCTCGTGTCCCCATAGGTAAGGCAGCAGCCATCCTGTGGCTCATGAATGGACTTTCCCCATCACTGAGGCCACTTTTGCCTCCAACCCATSCATCTCACAGTGTTTGCAGCATATCAGCCAGAACTGAGAGCAAAATTTCCCAATAATGCTATTTTAGGGGCATTGTCAGTGCCTGGAGGACAGGCTTGGGATATGAGTGATGCAGGCTYGAGACTCATGCTCAGGCAATCTCAAAGGCAACCTGGCTCAAAGTTTTCCTCCGTGTGAGAGCTGTCCTGAGAGAATTCCCAGAATTCCTTAGCTGGAGTACACCACCACATACTCAAGCAGCATGGGGACTAGGRCTGCTCCAGAAATATACAATCATAAAGCAAATTTTGCTGATTTCTCATACTCCATTTCGTAGAACTATATTAAAATTAGAAAAGCTCAACCCAGGATATGCTGTGGATGACAAAGATTGTTTCCAAACTGTTCTGTGGGTTTTAACCAGTTCTTCTGTGGGTTTTAACCAGTCTTTCAGCTTTCCTGTGGTGTGTGCTTGCTCTTTTGGTCCTCTCCTGGCTCAAAAAGGAGCTACATTGAAATGCAGAACAGCAGTGCCTGTAATTTGTGGGCAGTTGTGTTGATGGAGAGATCTCCAAAGAAATCATTCCTTTGGATTTGATAGCAAATGTTAGTAGTATTAGTAGTATTGCAGGACTAGTCCTACTGCAAGAATTAATCCTATTCCTTTTRTGGCAAACAAGGGGAAACTCCCTTCTAATTGCATTGTTAAATCCAGGTTCTGTGCAGATTGGGCAGGAGGGTTTGGTTCCACAGGTGTGGGGGTTTCAAAGCTGCCTGTTTTGAGTTTTAAACATTAGGGCAGCTCAGCAGAGCAAGGATTGAATCCTTGGATTCAACTGTTTATTAAGCAAAGGTAGGGAAGGTCACTGCAGGAGCACTGCAACAGAATAGCAGGTCAGTTCTGGGGGAGAATGAGCAATTTCAGAGAGAGATAATTAAGAGGCTGTTATCAGTAAAGGGGTTATCAGCCAATTTGAGCCAGTGCTGGCCAACCTGAGCTATCTGCTCTGCTCCAGATCCTGKGCAGACAAAGGGAATGGCTCTGCAGCACAGTTTTATTTCCATGTCAGAGCATGAGTTCAAACACAGGTCTGTGCCAGTGCTCCATTAGCAACACTGAGGTCACAGAAATAATCACCTCTGGCTGATACTGCCCCAAAATGGAAACACACTGTGGCTTTCAGCGCTACCACTCCCACATCCACCATTTAAAATAATTCTCTGTGTAATTTTGGCAAGTTTTGTGCATCTTTAAAAGAAAATTTAAATATAACAATATATTCAATATTTATTTATTTAAATAAATATAAATTACACTATTTAAATATAAATTACACCATTTATATGGGGTTTTAAAAAACATGGATTTTAAATAGAATTTTGTGAGCATAGATATAGGTTTTTGGACATCCCTATTGACTGAGGTGCTTGGAATAACACATACCTTGCCTTTGTGAAGTATTTTGCCAAGACAAGCTGTGGCTGCTCTATCCCTGGAAGTGTCCAAGGCCAGGCTGGACAGGGCTTGGAGCAACCTGGGGTGGTGGAAGGTGTCCCTGCCCATGGCAGGGGGTGGGAGTGGGACAAGATGGTCATTAAAGTCTGTCCCAACCCAAACCATTCTGGGATTCTATTTATGATAGAAACTGCCAGTGAAAGTGGAAACTCCCATGATTACTCAGGGCAGAAAATCTTGTCATAATTCCCAATTTTCTGTGTCTTGCCAAATGTCCCCCCTGGAAGGACATGCATTCTCCAATGCTTGTGCAGCCAGTTCTCAGTWCCACTGAGCTCAGRGAAGTGCTCCTGTTCTCCAGGCTGAAGATGCTGGAGCAGCAGGTGGTCGGGGGGGAACAGGCTCAAAACAAGGACCTGAAGGAAAAGCACAAACGCCGGAAGAAATACGCGGACGAGCGGAGGCTGCAGYTAGTGGCTGCCCTGCAGGAATCCAACGAGGACAGCAGCGAGATGGCTCTCCTCAATGTCTATGACTCCATCCAGGAGGAGGTGCGAGCCAAGAGCAAGATGCTGGAGAAGGTGCAGGAAAAGGTGAGGGAGCAGCTCCTTCCTCYTCCACACCCCCACTTTTTATGTCACAGTGTTTAGGGCTGTAGGCTTAGAGAATGACTCTGCCTGTGTCAGTATTTCATACACAATATTGTTTGTGTGAGTTTTTATGAATTCTCAGATATCAGGTGGGAAATTAAGCTTTTGAAGCTCAAACCCCACCAGTTTTAAAGGCTCAGTGTGTGACAGTTGGCTGGAGGAGGATGTGTTGGGATGGGAAGGGATGCAACTCCCTCTGCTGACCTGTGGATCTGCTGCAGCTCCCACCAATTTGAAGCACACGTCAGGGAAGAAATAAAACATAAAAGTAATGCTCTTAAATTTTACATTTAAAATCTTCATTTACAAAACACTTGAAAATCTATTTTGCAGCAGAAGCAGAGAAGCTTTGAAAAAATTGGCGTTTTTGTGTACAGTCCTAAATTTGCACATGAAGGATATGCTTTATTTGGGTATTTAAGTTATCAAAGAACTATTGCACCTTTTTAACTGAAGTCAGGAACTTCCAAGAGTTCCAAGACCACACCAGTAAGATTAGCTTCAGGTTCATTCAAAAATCATCCCTGTGGAGAAACATGCAAAATCTTTCTTTAAAACAGATGTGGAGTAGTCTCTCCACACAAATTTTATCCCAATTTGTACCTAAATTTGAAGTGTTTGCAAATACTGAAGCTCTTCTGAGTATCTCTCTCTGCCTGGCAAATTCCTGTACTTGTAGTTAACCATCGCTCTCTCTGTTTTATAACCCTGATGTCTTGTTTTGTGTCCAGCTCCAGGCTGCCGAGACTGAGATCAGAGACCTGCAGCTGGAGTTTGGGCTGGAAAAGATGGATTACCTGAGCACCATCCGGCGCCAGGAGCGAGACCTGATGCTCTGCCAGCAGCTGCTGGACCAGGTGCAGTCTCTCATCCGGCGTGACTGCAACTACAGCAACCTGGAGAAGATCAARCGTGAATCCATCTGGGATGAGGAGAGTGGCCGCTGGAAAATTCCAGAGCCTGTCATTCAAAAAACCCAGCTGCCCCCAGGTAAGGGGATGGGGCCCAGGTGAGAGGAAGGTGCTGTAGGCAGGCAGCTCTGCCAGGCTCGGCAGGTCACATTTGGGCTGCATGCACTTATAACACCTTCAAAATAAAGTTTGTCTGGAAAGTTCGAGTAACATGATCTGAGCATGTGGTGCAGCTCCCTCTGGAATCCCTGAGCAGTGCCAGGATCAGAGAGCACAGTCAGGAGATTGTTGGTGGTGACTGTTCTACACACAACGACCCTTAGTGCCATCTTTTCTCCCAGCAGTTCCAGCTCTGCCACAGCCCAAACCTGCCCGAACGAGCCCCTCRGATGAGAGTGGGGAGCCAGCGGTATGGCCCATTCCTCCTCCATTTCTAKCCCATTTTACCAGTTTTGCCTTATTTCTGGCGCTGCTGACAGCGTTTCCCACTTGCAGCCCGAGGAAGACCACTACAGGCTGGTGCTGGACAGGAGCGACAGCGAGAACATTGCCAGCAACTACTTCCGAACCCGGCAAGCCAGCCAGATCCTGCACCCGGACCAAGGTAATCCCCTTCTCCCAGATACYGCCGACACTCCTCATTTTCGTCCTTTTCCTTGAGAAATCAAGTGGCAACTCAACCAGCACCAATTCTGCCTCAACCCCTTSATCTCTCCGGGGTTTCCTGCAAGACGTAGCTGCATTTTGGGTCCTGCACAACCCAACAGAACCCTTTCCTCTCCTCTCAGCTCCCGCACGCTTCGAGGGGGCCGCGGGCAGCGCCTGCTCCACTGCCCAGGCCCGACCCTTCCGCCTCCAGTCCCTGACCTTGGCTCCTAGCGCCGACACCAAGCGCAAGAAGAACAAAGCCAGCTCCAGCACCCGCCGCTTATGACCCATGGCGGATGTGGGCGGGTCAGGCCACCGCGCCCGCCGTCGCCGCGGAGGAGGGAGGGGGCAGCGGCGGGGTCCTCCCTCCTCCGCGGCGACGGCGGGCGCGCTGATTSGCGATAGCGCTCTGGTGACGGCGGCCGCCATGGGGCGCGACTGCGGCCGCGCTGCGTTCCGGCGTCGCGGAGCTGGCTGTCGGCGATTGGCTGAAGGCTGCTCGGCGCTGGCGCTGGTTGGCTGGAAGCTGCACGGCGCTGGCGCTGATTGGCTGGCGGCTGCCTGCCTCGGAAGTAGCTCGGCGACCGGGACTAAGATGGCGGCGGCCGCTCTGGGTGTGTGGGGGCTGCTGGCGGTGCTGGCGGCAGGTGCTGAGGGAGGTCCCCGAACGCTGGTGCTGCTGGAGAATGGGAATCTGCGCGACACGCACTCGATGTTCTTCCGCAGCCTCGCGGGTACGGAGAGGGCGGCGGTGGGGTCCCGGGAGGGGGTTGGATGGGGACGGGCGTTGCGGATCCGGGGTCAGGATGGGGGAGGAGGTTGAGGTTACCTGAAGGAAGAGAGGACGTTTGGGGTCCTCTGGTCAGGTCGAAGGAGGAGATTGGGGTCCCCTGGCTGGGCTGAGGGCGGAGCCAGGGGTACCTTGCTGGAAGGGGGTGTGTTTGGACTCCTCTGGTCAGGATGGGGGAGAAGATGGGGGATCCCATCGGGGAGAGRGGGGTGGTTGGGGTTCCTGGGTCAGGCTGAGGGAGGAGATATGGTATCATGCACCGGGCAGAGGGAGGAAATTGKAGTTTCTAGGTGGAGAAGGTGTCTGGGGTTCACATGTCAGAATGAGGGAGGAGATTGGGGTCCCATGTGAGGCTGAGGGAGCAGATCCAGGTCCCCTGAGGGAGAATGGGTGTTTGAGGTCTCGTGGTCAAACTGTTGGAGGTAATGGAGACCCTGTGCCTGGATGGAAGAGGATATTGGGGTTCCCATGTCAGAATGGGGGAGGAGACTGGGGTCCCCYGGTCAAGCAGAAAAGGAGATTGGCATTCCCAGGGGGAGAAGGGGTTGTTTGCATTCTCCTGGTCAGAATGAAGATTTGGGTCCCCTTGTCAGGCTGAAGGATGAGAGTGGGATGGGGATGCTGTTGGAGAGGCTGAGTGAGAAGATGATCCCAAGCCAAGGGAGGAGATAGGGGTCCCGTGGTGAAAGGAGAGGTGTCTGTGGTCCCTTGACCAGGCAGAGGGAGAAGATTGGGGACCCTGTGCCAGTCTGAGGGAGGAGATTTGGGTTCTGTGAAGGGTTGGGGGGGGGCTGTTTGGGATCCTTTGGTCAGAATGAGGCAGGAGATGGGGTTRTTTCCCCAGCTGTGTCTGTGTTTGGGTCTCCTACAGTATCAGTCCCTGTTTGAAGGGTGACAGCAAGGCTTTCAACATCAGGGCTCTTCAGGGAATCCACCCCCTTGGGTTTATGTGGGAACACTCAGGTGCTGCTGCTCCTAAAAGGCCCCTAAGCCAGTTTTTCCAAAATGTTGCATTGAGAAAATAAGCCTCTGGCTCCTGTTGCTGCTTTGCTGCTCCATGTGTGAGCTTCATGCCATGGAGAAGTTGTCACTTTTGTTTCCTGGCTACAGACAGGGGCTTCGACCTCACCTTCCGGACAGCGGATGATGCCGGCCTGTCGCTGATAAAATATGGGGAATTCCTGTATGACAATCTCATCATCTTCTCCCCATCCATAGAAGGTAAATGCAGAGAGGGAAAGCTCTGGAGCTTGGTGGCATTTTCGGAGAGGGATTTCCAGCTGTTTTGTGAATTTTAGTTAAATCTTACACTTCAGATGTGCTCARTAGCAAGCTGCAGCTCTGTCCTGGCCTTTATTGGTGGTTCTAGCATTGATTTGGTGATTTGCTGTGGCTTAGTTCTGCTGGGGGGTTATTTCTGAGCTCTAGCCATGAATTCTTGCCATTTGCTTTCAGACTTTGGTGGGAACATCAATGTGGAGACCATCACCGCTTTTATTGATGGTGGTGGCAGCGTCCTTGTCGCTGCCAGCTCAGACATCGGTGAGTACAGATGTTCCTCCAAAAGAATTAATTCACAGCAGCAAGAGCAGCTGCTCCTAGTGCCCCTTTGGGTTTGCTCTGGGAGGAAATGGGTGATTAATGCCTTTAGTAACATGTTCAGTGGGAATCTAGCTAGGGAGGTCGTGTTGTTCCCTGGGGTTTGGCTTGAAGGTCGTGTTGTTCCCTGGGGTTTGGCTTGTAGAGCGTTGAACACGTAGCTCTCAGCTGAATTTTTTCTTTTGAGTTTGTGTCTTGTAACAGAATCCACTGTGTTCTGCAGGTGATCCGCTGCGAGAGCTGGGCAGCGAGTGTGGGATCGAGTTCGATGAGGAGCGGACAGTGGTCATCGACCACCACAACTATGACATCTCTGACCCCGGCCAGGTAACGGCTTTGCCTGCACCTTCTGGCTGATKTAATGAGCACAYGGGTGCAAAGCRTTAGGGATGAATCGTCTGCCCTTGTTCTCCCATTTYTCCTCTATCCCTTCTCTGGTCTCCCACTCTCCTCCCAGGAAACTGGTAAATGATCCATGTTGCAATATTCAGTTCTGTTATTGTCAGTATCCTTCAGGTTGTAGTTTCAGATGATCACTGTGTCCAGGCAGTGAAACTGTGATTAATGCTTGCTCTGGACTCCTATGAAGCTTGAGGAGGAATTTCACCTGAGGGTGAAGCATATCAGACACCCAGTGTGATGTTTTACGTGTGGGAAGGGAGAGGTTCAGTCCCAGATTTTCAGTTTAGTATAGAAACACACAAACATTTCTGCAATATTTCCCCTTGCTGTAAACTAGCACTTTAAAATTAAAACATATATTAAGTTCTGAGCTAAATATACTCTGATARTTTTATTTAGGGTAAACTGCYGAAGCAGTATGTATGTGCCTGTTTYTGTGGTTTAAGAATGAAAGTTGCTAAATACAGGGAAATAAAACACAGTAGGCATTCCTGTCTTTATCAAGTGGCAGCTTATGTTTCCTTGAGGGTCAGTATTAATTTGATCATAAACACAAAAATGCTGTTGTTTTGCTYTTTAATTGAACTATATCACTCATCCCACAGTTGTGATTGTCTGTAAAAATAAAGTTAATGTTTAACTGAGAATCTTTTGTTTGCCGTTGGACTCCAACTCACCTCACAYGGATCTCTCTTGTTCCACCAGCACACGCTCATTGTTGCCGACACTGAGAATCTCCTGAAGGCTCCCACCATTGTGGGGAAAGCAGCACTGAACCCCATCCTGTTCCGAGGAGTAGGGTGAGGAGGAGGGGGATGAGGTGGGGGAAGAGCAATTGAACCAGTGGTGTTGCTGCAAGGTGAGCATGGGGTCAGCCACTGGGCCTATTAATGTGCGCATAACAAACCTCTCTTGATTTCAAATAAAAATAGAAGAAAGTCTTCCAAAGTGGTTTAGTTGTTGACTTAGGAATTGTTCCTAACAAATTAGTGGAGAAAATACTTGGTTTCCTAGCACACTGAAAGGGTGAGGTCTGTGGGGTTGAGCAGGTGGCCACACGTTCCTCTGGGTGTGGGGGCTCCTGGGGGTTTTCATGCTGCTCACCATGGCTTTCCCTGCAAGGATGGTGGCTGATCCCGACAATCCACTGGTGCTGGATATCCTGACTGGCTCTTCCACTTCTTACTCCTTCTTCCCAGATAAGCCTATCACTCAGGTATGCTCCCTTCCTTTCTCTCCTGTTTTGAGCTGTGCTTTCACAATTTAGTCCCTCTAATTTGAGTAGTTCGGGAAAATCATGGAGTGCCTGTTGTCCTGATTGATTTTGAAAGGGTTGGGCTATTGGCTGCTTCCCAATGTTGCCTTGGGAATCTTCCTCTCTGCTTTCTGCTGGTTGGATAGTGTTCAATGTGAACGACATGTGTCCTCCATGCTCTGGAGGAGAGGCCAGCCTAGATCAAAGCGTCTCTCCTGTTCCATCCCAGCTGGAGTGGGCATCAAAATCCTGTTCCTGCTTTTTCTGAGTTTCGTGGTTACCCCTTAATTGCTGCCTGTGCTACTACAGCCAGACTGTCCCAACCCACAGCAAACTCTTTGTGCATCCTGAAATGGCTAAGCCCTCTCCCACCTTGTTGTTGCACAGTACCCGCACGCAGTAGGGAAGAACACGCTGCTGATTGCGGGGCTGCAGGCACGCAACAACGCCCGCGTCGTCTTCAGYGGCTCCCTGGATTTCTTCAGTGATGCCTTCTTCAATTCTGCTGTGAAGAAAGCGACTCCTGGCTCCAAGAGGTGCCTTGGCTTCCTGGTTTCTTTGGCTGAGGAATGTTTGGGGAGTGGTTTGATGACAGATGTCCTGGGAAACAGGCAACMGTTGTTTGTGTTTTGGGAAAGAGCAGAAAGATTGAATTGACTCAGGGATGACACATTCTTMAGTGCTGTGGAATGAAGCATTTTGGGAAGCAACTCTTTTCTTTACCCTCTGCTCAGTTTATGTTGCTTTCACATCTGGTTTGGTTTGATTTTGGCCCTGGGGTATTTTCTCGCTGTCTCAGCCTCCCTTGTTCTGCAGGTACTCGCAGACGGGTAACTACGAGCTGGCTGTGGCCCTGTCCCGCTGGGTGTTCAAGGAGGAGGGAGTTCTGCGTGTGGGAGCCGTGTCCCACCACCGTGTCGGGGAGCTGACACCGCCCAACGCCTACACTGTCACCGACCTCGTGGTGAGGCTGCTGTCCTGCTGGAGCTGGGACATGCAGGAGCCACCTGGGGCGAGGAACTTGGGAACAGTGRAGCTTGGGGTGGGCCGAGGTTCGTTCTCAGGAATTGCTGGTTAATTTGTCCCAGGAGTACAGCATCGTGATCGAGAAGCTTGCTGATGGCAAGTGGGTGCCCTTCGACGGGGACGACATCCAGCTGGAATTTGTGCGCATCGACCCCTTCGTGCGCACCTTCCTCAAGAGGAACGGTAGGTCCCYGTCAGGAGGAGCAGTAGGGTTCCCCTCAAGATGAGCAGGAGGTCCTCATCACTGCCCTGGCCCTGCACTGGGGGTGTTCACACCTTC